GCATATAATATCTGATTTTTTCCATCTGCTTTTGGTTTCAAATATTTTGTAAAATATTTGTCGAAGACMTTGTATTATGAGTTTTTCATTTAGTTAGAATCTTTAATACGTTATCTTTTCAAATAAAGACAAAGCGTTATTCACTTTGCAATTCTTTCCTCCTCCTCAACATTAATTTTGTATGGGGATGATGTTCAATTTTCACCTTTTTCACATTTCACATTTATCTTTACGCGCCTATACTCGTTTCTTTGGCAGCAAGTTACGTGATAATTCTCGAATAACTTTGACGAAGAGTGCGAAGTTATCGACTCGACGACAAAGGAACATGCTTTCACTTCGGCGGTTGCGCGCGTATTCCAATATTATGTCGTTTTTAGTTGCTTTAATCTACATTTTGTTCGGAATTAGTTTATTACAATTTATACCAGAGCGAAGCTCATAATTTGATACAATTTCTAACTTTCTATTCCTGACAAGACTCAGATGAACAAAATGAATCGTCGGCAAAGGAGGATGCAGCAATATAACATGAAAAAGGCTGAAGAGGGCGGCGACTGGTACGACCAAGTCGAAGCCAAACAGAGGCCACAGAGGCCAGATTTCAAGATCAACCGTGGCTGACTGACCCCCCGAAGCGCGGGATGGAGGGGAAGACCTCTACCAAAGGCGACACCACCGGTGATCCAGGATCCCGCTGAGGTTAGGGCTGCCAGGCCGGTTCCCAATTTGAGAAAGGCACAAACTGAAAAGCTTGTGGACGAGCCACTCTATGCGGACAGCGCGTACAATAGCACATTGCCTGGGAGACATATCTACTCTCACAACATGGACTTTTCCACCTTTCCATTACTGTGCGAACGTGTCTACGCGGATTTGGAGATCGAGAATCCTCGGCTCCGAAGAGAAATTCCTTATTGTGCGTTCCAGCACGTATACACTAGTGCGTTAAACGCAATACTAATCGATCATGTTAGATCGGTTAATGCCGAGGACAGATTTGCAGATGAGGAATCCCCATTGAATCTTTTCCTCAATGACTTCGTTGCACCGGGGCCCATAGCTGAGTACATGCGCAGCGCAGCCAACGCTGTTACATCTCAGGGTAATCTCGTCAAAGTCAACGTTCCTGACGCTAGCATACCCCAGCCGCCGATACCAGAGGCTGGTGAACAACAAGCTCTGCCGTCTAGTTCCTTTGGCAGAGTCACTGCTAATAATCATAACGCATACAAGTGTTATGTCTCACCCTATGTTACATCTGCGCTTGTGACT